AAAAAAAAAAAAACGCCTGTACTGGTAATGAACACATCAAACCGAATGAAACGCATGAAACTGAATCGTGCTTGATATGATGATGATCTAGTTCATCTTTAAATATCCCGTTAGTTAGTTTCTAATAGGAATTACCCTAATTCCCCATGTATAATACGCCTTCATCCATAATACGCACCCCTAAAATTGTGCTGTAAGTGTGTGAAAATGCTTCTACTCACGCATAATACGCCCCCCTTGTTTAGTATAAATTGTACCTCTCCAATTTCACTACGGCCAGCTTTTCCCACTCTTATTAAAAACAAAATTGTTTTAAATACAGAATAATATTATTCTAATTTAGTTTATTTTACATTTGAAAGTATTATTAGGTACATACGGTTGTATTTGATATCCTTATGGGGTGTCGCAATCGTCCAATGTTAGTGTCAAATTGTCGTATGTTTGTGGTGAGTAGTCATTTCGCAACTGAAATCAACCCATGAAACGGCAATTTTTTATGCATTTTTTGTAGCTGTGCATAATACGCACCCCTAATTTTGCTTATTATTTTTTAGAAAAAAAAAAAACGCGTTAATCAAACAGCTAAGTAAAAATCTTACGGAACTCTCCTGTCATTTTGTTTATTTCCCCGGGCCAGGAAATTAATTTGCCTATGTAACCATTCTCTTAAGTGTTGAAGGGTCGGTAGATTTTGAATATTTCTTTCAGAATGTACACCTTAAAATGTTTGTTGAATTTACAGTCTTTTTGTAATAAATTGTTCTGCAAACTCCGTTGATGTCACATTGTTGTGTCTGGCATCATACATGTAGCCATTGAATCTTTTATTTAATTATTTGTAGAGTTATATATTTTTATACTTGAAAAAAAGTTAAAAATACAACTTGATAAAAACATACATAATGTCAAAATATTGTTTACTATTGTTAAACACAGTTTTTTCTTTTCTTTTTCTTCTTTATGTGTTGTAAAATATCGGAAGAGTTACGTCAATCATTTTCTTTATTATTATTATTATTATTATTATTATTATTTATTATTATTTTCCTTTGACTTCTGTTGGTTGGATACTCATTTCTTTCTGGGTCCCAACCAGAGACCTAAGGTCAGATATGACATCACTGAGCAAAAAAAAAAAAAGATCACGCACATTTTACATAGATAAAGCTCTTCTGTGAGTCAGCTGTACTTGTGAGTACAAATTTTTGTATTTCTTTAAGACTTGGGCTACAGGAATCCCTTCAATGAGTCTACTGGAATCTTTTCCAATTAATCCGAGAGCTCCAACTACAACTGGAATTACTGATGTTCTCATGTGCCAAATTTTGGAGATTTCGATTTCAAAGTCCTTGTATTTTGATAGTTTTTTGGAGATCTTCAAAGATACATCACAATTGGCAGGAAATGCCATATCAATAAAAAAGGCATATTTTGTTTTTGCAGTCTCTTATCACAATGTTTCGGTGATTATTTTTGAATGTTATTATTATTAATTTTATTATTTTTAGTAGTAGTAGTAGTTTATATATATGAAGTTAGAATATAATAAATTTCCATTTTTGATTTGAATTTGTGCATTTTTCCTGCAAAGTTGTTTTTAGACATTTCACTGTAAGCAATGCAACAATGCCACTAAGATGGATGGGGGAGGGACGGTTACAGGAAGTGAAAGGAAATGAGAAGAGTTTAGTGAGGAGAAAGGAAAATAAAAGAACAGGATGACAGAAGATTGATTTAAATATTTGAAGATTGTCGATGGCAAGGAAGCAAGAAGCCGGAAGAGAGTTCCACACAAGAGAAGTGCCAGAAATTAAACTATTAGAATAGAACATACAGTTACGTCTGGTTAATTCAACAATAAAACGATGAGACCTAATTGCCAATCTAGTTAAATTCACGCGGTCGCCGAACCAAGGAGGAAAGCTAATAAGACCAATTACCGTGAAAATATTTATAGAAAAGACAAAGAGAAGCCACAGTACGGCAGTGGGAAAATGACTGAAATCGAGATGCCAGGTTAGGACCAATAATGTTGCAGACTCTTCTTCGCATTTGTCGAGATCTTGACTTACCTTCTGTTTATACATACAGCTATATACAACTTTAACATCTCCGCATTTCCTCGTTCGAGAGTTCTTTGAGTATTTTTTACGACTATTGATGTTTATTTAGAGAGTATATAAACAAATTTGAATACATATGATGAGGGAAGCATTGGAAACACATCGACAATAAAAAAATACATTCCAAAGTGAGGGGCAAAGTTTTGACTAGGCCATTGCAAAAGTTGGCAAACATCTGTTACAAAAATGCAGAAATTGATACCTACCGCACACATACACACTCTCTTTCACACACACACACACTTACATACACACACACTCTGACTCTCTCTCTCTAACACATACACACTTATACACTCTCATTCACACAAACATTCTCTCTTTCACACGCACATACTCACCCTCACTCACACTCTCTCTTTCTCTTACACGCACACACACACACACACACTCTCTGAAACACACACACATATACCCTCTCTTCCTCTTAGACACACAAACACTCTCTCTCACACACATATACACCCATGCCCTCTCACACATACACATATATACACAATCTCCCTCACACACGTTCTCTCTTCCTCTTACACACACACACACACTCTCTCACATATACACATACACTCTCACACATATACACTCTCTCTCACACAAACATTCTCTTTCTTCATACAAAAACTCTCTCTCTCATACACACATACTTTCACACACACTCTCTATCTCACACACAATATCTCTCTCACACACACATACTCATTCTCACACACACACTCTATCTCACACACACACATTCTCTCTGAAACAGACACATATACTCTCTCTCTTATCAAGAAGAAGGAGAGAAGTGGTGGATTCATACCTTTCCAAAGAGTATTTACACGTAAGTGAATATAGCGAACTCGACTGGATTTCGAACTCGGCTCTCCGATTTTTCATTCTGTACCGTAATCCATAACACCACCCACACATTCATGCTTACAACATTTGGTATTCGCAAGAAGTCACCCATCTCGGTACTGACTAGACTCAAAGTTGTTTAACTTCACTGATGGAACTATGACTCTTTTTGGGTATCGTTTGAATTTTTAATTTGCTTTAATTTTTTTAATTTTAGATTTTATGCTGATGACACACCTATTTACACCTGTCTTAATAGTAAGTGTTATCGGTTCGATAAGGTCAAATTGGAAGCTGACCTAAAAAAATGACTTACAATCTGTTGTTAAATGGGACAATAAATGGCTTGTTAATTTTAACGTCACCAAAACGAAACTGTTCTCTTTTAATTGTTTGAGAGAACTTTTTTGGTTTTTTATGGCTGATACTAACCCCCAGGATATTAACTTGAAGTGGAAGGATGATAGTGAATCAATTGCTAGATGTTTAGCGAGGAAAGATGATTCATTGTGTCGTGCTAGAGAGTTTTTTTACGCTAGAATCTATCTTACAGATTTATATGTCTACCTTTAAATATCGCTGTCAGATGTGATCTGGTGCTTTTGCCATTAAAAAGAAGAATCTGTAATATTATTGGCCCTGATCTAGCATCTCAGATTCAGTCACTTTCCCACAGCCCTTTTTTTTTTTTTAAGTATTTCACCCCAAGCAAGGGGTTACAGAGAGTAAGAGCAAGAGTGAAGAGGGAGGGGTTACAGAGAGTGAGAGCAAGAGTGAAGAGGGTTGTTTGAGGAAAGGATAAAGAGAAGGACGGGAATCAGGATCAAGGCATCAGAAGATGTCGATTGACATTACATTTGAGTATTTGAAGATTATAGCTACCAGGGAAGCAAGTAAGAGGAAGGGAGTTCCACTGTCATGAAGTGCGAGAGAAGACGCTGTTGGAGTAGAAGAGGCAGTTATATTTAACTGTTTCGACAGTGAAAGGGTGGGACCGAGATGCCAACCTAGTAGCACGCTTAAATTCATGCAGATGGGGTAAAGGTGAAAGTATTTCGTCAGAACAGTTGCCATGAAAATATTTGTAGAAAAGTAAGGGGAAGCCATAAATATTTACATGGTAATTGTTCTGTTGAGATTTAAATTATGAATTTAAGCGCAGTACCAAATTGGCGACAATATCTCATTATTTTACAGCTAGATGTAACTGTAAGTTCTATGCTAACAGTTTCTTCTCTTGATAATCTAATACTGGAAATAATGAAACCCCATTTATTTGATCATTCAATCCTCATTAAATAACGTCATATTCATTTTAAAGAAGGCGTTCTCATATCTGTTTATTGTGGTCAGCCATTTTGTCTTTAGTATAAAGAAAATCACAACAAAAGAAAAAAAATATATATATACATAAAATTAGTTCTCGACAACAATGGTGTGATATTTGAGGTCATCCATTTTTGGAAGCATGGTAAAGAGAGTTTTGGAAAGGAATTTTCGACATTACAACAAAAGTAGATGATACTTAAACTAGTTAAGTTCAAGGTCATGAATGATGAGCGCTAAATGAGTATTGAAATCACTTCTAATGTTTAGTTTGGTCTGATGTTATTACGTGGTTTTTTAAATATATTTTTCCGTTCTTCAAACACTGTTAATGTATAAAGTTCTTTTTAAAACATTTTTCTTATACCAAATGCGTCGTGCAACTGTGTTCTACATCGTTTCCTTAAAGACGACAGCCATCTTTGATTACTTCTCCATTCTCTATTATAGATGTGGGAAGCAAAAACACGAACGTTGTCATTTTGGGGCCTTATTTCGATGCAGACACATACCGTATTGGTTTGTCGTTCCGGTATCTGAAGTTCTATATATTCTTCGTGTAAAATGGTGCACGAATCAGAACCAATGGAAGAATGACTCAAGGGAAGCAACTTTCACAGGAATTTCTTTTTTATCACGCACTAATATTCCGAGTTCTTTAAATGGCTATTTTCTTCTTTCTTCATTTATTTTGTCAATTAATTCTTCTCATAGGTGAGTGAGTTGAGGCTGGGTTATGTTCGTCTCTGAATCTTGGCGACACGACCGGCAGTAGATATGTTTTCGTACACAGTCTAAAACACGCATGACAATTTCCTTGCGAAAGAGTATGTAGACCCACGGATCAAGAACTTGATTGAAGCAAGCCAGTCGAATGCCTAATAGGTCGGCCTCTTTGTTTATGGGAAGCCATCGAGTCTGGTTAATAATCACACGAATCTATAAAAGAAAAATATATATGTAAAATATATATATATATTTATATATGTAAAAATATACATATTTAAAAATATGTAAAAGAATATAGATGTAAAAAATATATATGTAAAAATATATACATGCAAAAAAAAAAAATATATATATATAGGTAAAACAATAGATATGTAGAAGACATTTGGCAATCTTTAACTTTTATGGCCGCACAAAAACAGTGTGTCAAAAGGACAGGTTTTCCATTCACACCGCTATCACTTTAACTACCTTCACTCTTCAGCAACGTTTATTGTTTTAAAAAGAGATGATTAGAATTGTAATTAATCTTAAACATATGAAAGCGAATGTATACATTTCCTTTGTTCTTGTAAGATAACAACAAAAATATTAAGCAGTATTTATTATATTGTTTATTTAAAAGAATAGTTTACAACTAATACAATTGTATTAAAATTAATGCACTGCAGTGTTTATCAGTGTCATTAATTCTGGGTACTTAATGCCATTTTGGAACTGGTTGGGTCTCTGGTATGGGGACTTCGCATATGACTTCATTTTCCTTCTTTACTCAGGTAAATCCGGTCACCAAGATCACAAGTGAGGTCGCCCGTATCTCCTATTGTTGTACAGTAGCTAGCGCCCCTTCAGCACTCTATCAGATGGCCTGGCTCATAGCCTGAAATAGTCTACGATTAAGGACTTCAAAAATTGATTAATAAGTTGATACTAAGCTAATTAATATTCAGGCTGACCTTACTTCGTTTGGCTATACAGCATTTGACCTTCCTCTATTCCTTGTAAGTTGTCTTGTTAATTGTTTTGTAACTTATTGTTCTGTATCTTTTGTATGTATCCGTTAGCACCGGATACTGGTGCTGAATAAATATATTAAACACTCATTCTTCTCTGTGTATTATTCACCTCGACGATACAATACCTATATGGTTTGAAAGTTCTACTTTTCGGACATTTCTGTTCAGCTTTTCTTTTACAATCAAGCAACTCTTGAAATCGACGTTTACATCATGAACTTACTTCTACCAGGTTCTACAATCATTTGCATGGAACTCCCAGTTATATGTAATGATGTTTGTAAGATTCAGTGATTCTTTCAGTTCAACCTTACAATGCTTCTTTAGCTTATAGGCAGGTTGCTTTTCATAACAAAGTTTTCCATACAAAAGCTGCTTTAGGATCTCGTTGTTGCTCATAAGAGCAATATGACCGCACCCCAAAGGGACATATATGTTAGAATTTTAGCTTCAATGCCGTCGCAATAGCTTGGCTCATCGCTGATATACATTCTGCAGATGATTCCAATTATTGATCGATTGATTTGTTTCTTTAACGGCATATCAATCCCTCATGGGTCATTTAATGCTGAAATTGAATTATTTGAGAGCCTTGAAATAATAAAAATATGATGTATGTTATTCTGCTTTCACAACTGAATACATGGTAGATGATACTCAGCTTTATGCATATACATGTTTGTGAACAGGATTACTAGAGGTGGAGATATATGTGTTTTATGTTGTTTAAAGTTATATTTTGGAATACAGTTTGATTCAAGAAATTGTAGGATATTATATCGATTAATATGATCAAAGTTCTTTCAGGTTGGCTGTTTAGTTGATTGATTGAGATTGTTCGGCGACATATCAACACTTCTATGACTTATTTAATGCCGAAATCTAAATATTTCGTACGTAATTTTATATTTTCAGAGTAAAGGTATAGTTTTAGAGATATACTCTGTGGATGATAAAATGTATTGTTAGTAAGTTTACTATAAAAATGTATTTTTATATTCTAGTGTTGCATTGATTGTCATTTTGTTATAAAAATCTATTATCGGCCATTTTATCATGAAAAATTATTGTTAATTTTTGTTTGAGGGAGTCACTATTTGCCCATAGCTGAGACCCTAACAGGTGCTATTCCGGGTCAGGGTAGAGTTTGACTTCAATTATTCGACAAATGAGTTGCTGATGAAAGCGCTCGTGCAGCTTCAAGTGGTCGCGATGGGTGACCAACGTTTCACGTGCAGATAATAACGAGGTTATAATACAAGAACGAGAGACCATGATCTCTGTCACTTTTTAAATTCCACGGCTGCCTCCATCTTTTCAACTTATCGAATGTATGACTGGCTTTTTGAATTCTCCTCATAACTTTTCCACTGTTCAGCGAGCATGTTCTGGATAGGGCGCTTCCAAGATAAACAAAGTCATCAACCACGCCAATACGTTTATTCTATACTAAGATATTTAAGATATTTATTCCTATGTAAGACTTTCTCGGTGTAAGCTGATATATCACTAAAGCTTTTCAGACATATAGCAAGCCTCCAGAGCAATGCAAGCGCCCATTGGGCATTGCATATCATCCTCAGTATGGGCCACAAGATTGCAATCATCTGCATACAACAAGGTTAACAGATATCCTCGCCTTGGTTGTCATAGCAGACGTTGGTTTCTCCTACAAAGGGGTACAGAGATTCGAATCTTACGGGACAGCCCATTTTCTTTATTAAGTCTATCGATTGTGCAAGTTAGTAGACGTATGCTTATAAAAAGACGGCCTCTACTCAAACACGAATAGTCACAAAATAATGTTTTGAATAGTAATATATATATATATATATATATATATATATATATATATATATATATATATACCTAAGTTTGGTGAGCGACTTAAGTTTCGTTGGTTAGCTAACTCGTTGGGCACAAGATATAGATTAATGTGTGTGTGTATGTGTGTGTGTGTGTGTGTGCGTGAGAGAGAGAGAGAGAGAGAGAGAGAGAGAGAGCAAGTCTCAACTCAATATGATAACATCAGGTAAATAATTTATCACATTCTCCTAAATCCACCGGCTAACTCCACGTTCGGTAATAAATGAATTTATGTGATCTCCCCCTCTTTAAAATGGGCACATTGTTTTCCTTTTTCCCTCCGCACATTTAGTCACTGGAGAATCTTCGTTATACTTTTCTTGGAAAAAAACCCAAAACAAGAAAAATGTTGTAATGTTGTCTTTGTTCAAAATAACCGAGAATTAGGAAGGCCGTAGTTAGAGAGAGTATCAAAGGAACAGAAGACTAGGTAGAGGAAACAAAGAATAAGAGATTTATTAAATACTCATACGTAGAACGAAACGACTTGAATAAATTAAATCCTACTCAAAATCCTACTCTAATGTGGCTACTTGCCATGTTTATAAATAAGTGCAGTCCATTATCATAGTAGGGAAGAACAGGATGTATGCTGAGTCCTACTTAGCAGCAATCTTTTATTCATTGCTTTTGTTACAACATTATTCACATCTCAATTATTTTAAGAGGTTTAGATGAAGAGAATAAGTCTTCAATGTCATAAAAAGCAATTGTTGATGGAGAATCTTGAGAAGTAATCAAGTCAATCAGTACACGGTTGTTTTTCAAGTTTTGGATTCTCAGCAAAAAAAACCAAAAAAAAAAAAAAAAAAAAACCCATAAAATTTAGTTTCCAGCATTGATGAGCCAAAATATTCTGCCTGTTAAACTATTGGGCCTTTATCAACATGTAAAACAGCTCTTACCCAATAAGGTATGCGCTCTGCAAGATGGTTTTCCCTAGCATCTGGTGCCAAGATGTCAACAGAAAGTCCTTTAACTGCTTTAAGGTACACAGATTAATTTGAGAATATTTAATAAAAGGAAAACTTGACGTAAAAACAGTTATTTTATTAAGTGAAATTATTTTTTCTCATTTTCTTCAATTTTAATCTCTTTCAATTAGGAATTCAGTGATCGATCTCTTTGTTGTTAATATTAATATTCCTAAGAATGGTAGAAAAATCCATCAAAAGAACTGATTATTTAATTGTGCCTCTGTGTGTGTGTGTGCATACATATAAGAAGTTGCTTTGTCTGGAATATAAACTTTACATTTATGTAATTTCATGTAAATAAAATTGAATCCACATGAGACTTCTTAGTTTTGGCAACTGAAAATGCCAGACATTTCTAGAATAGAGAATAATTTGAGAATATTTAATAAAATGAAAAGTTGACGTAAAAACAGGTCAGTTATTTCATTAAGTGAAATTATTTTTTCTCAGATTCTTCTATTTTTAATCATCCATAAGGCAATAAGTTGTTGAACAAAGAAAATAAAAATAAAATTGTTTCCTTGTGTAAAATCTTTTCCTATTTCTTGCCTTTAATAACAAAAGATCCTTGTTGTAATGTTTTTGTTCAAAATAGCCACAAATTAGAAAGGCCATAGTTAGAGAGAGTATCGAAGGAACAGAAGACGGGGTAGAGAAAACAACGAAGTTTATTAAATATTCATACATAGAATGGAAAAACTTGAGTAAATCAAATCCTACTCTAATCCTACTCTAATGTGGCTACTTGCCATATTTATAAGTAGAAGCAGTCAATTCTCACAGTAGTAGGGAAGAGCATGATATATGCTGAGACCTAATCTACAACAAAAACAAAAGAAAGGTTTTGCGCTGAAGTTGTTTTTGCTGTTGCTGTTATTGTTCTTAATCTTCAATGTGTCGTGTCCATTTAGGCCGTGGTCTACCATGCCTCGCCACAACTTCCTATCTTTTGTATCTCTTAGCAATGTCTATCTTTTTACGATCCCTCTCCTTTCTGTTTGGTGTAGGTTGTTCACTGCCCCCCTCTGTTCCTTCTGCCCTTAATATGTCCTGTGAGTGTCAGATTTTCTAAGCTCCCTTTCCTCAATATTTAATCTGTCTTTTTAATTTTAAGTATAATGTTTCCAAAATTTGGTTGAAGGTTTTGAAGATTTCGATTGAATTAAATCAAATAAACCCTTACTAAACTCCAAAGAACTTGTGATGCGATCAATTCAATGTTAGAATTCTTTTCATCCGGAATATTACAGAATAAATTAATTATCTTCAAACTGTTCATAGAAAAGAGTTTCTTGTGAAATCATTAATGATGTTACTAGTGGTCAGGTCATTTGTTGTGGGGTGTGACACT